CGTAAATCAGAAATATATTATCGATTTAATAGATGTATTAAATATGATTATACGAGTTACTAATTTGCACCTCGCATTTCGAAATTTCATCCATCCATTTATGCGGTGTACCAGTATACCCGTGTGTATTGGCGGGAAAATGGTATACTTGACCTTGATCCGAATTTGTTCACTCCCTCCCCCCTATGGCCTAGACTTCCTYATAGGTACTCTTTCTGATAATTTCTGCCATGTTTTCATCATGGTTGGTTTTTTAACCAGGTTCCAAATGCGCTAAAGGGCATATTATATATCCGTTAAAAACTTTATAAGAAAATCCACAGATTTCCACAAATTATTAAGTTCAGCAAGCTGTAGAAAACTTTGCACTAATTTATACAATTCCGATAGTTAACTTTTTCATGGATAATAATATGCATTCTAGTTTGTTTATTCTATCTTAAGAGTTTCTTTCTTTGAGTTATAACATACTTAGTATTTCCTGGGAGGTGTACATCGGGCGATGTCCAGCCACAATCAGCCAGGGAGTTTTTTGTCGGTTGACTGAGCGCAAATCATTCTCTAACCACRTATACTGAGTTGAACCAATAGTGATATTGTGTTCTGTACTTATCATTATAAAATGTACATTACCGTAGTCATAGCTGTACCTGGATGAACAGATATAAGATACAAATCAGGGACATACAATGGAGAAACATTGTGTCACAAACATTACTCATACTGCTTCGCATTTACTACATGTATCCCATATTACTATTGGTTATTACATACAATCAGGCTCGGAGGAGGGGGGGGGGGCAAAAAAAATTAAAGTGGTGCAGCACTTCTTAAAATAAACAGAATGGAAAATAAAGGGAGGGACCCTTTTCTAATGCAACAACAGAAAGGAGGTCAGATTTCTTGTATGGGTTGACAAGCTAATCCCACCACCAACCTTACTATACTAACCCCTCTCTGATGAAAAGTGAGCCATTCCCTATAGAGGCTATTCGGTATATCCAAATGTAGCCAGTGACCATAGCGACTAGAATAGTGCATTAAAAGTGCAACACATCCATGCTTCTTTTGTATCAGACTTAACTAGCCAAACCTACCAGAATACAGCATTGCCATTGTCAGGCATGTGGAATCTGTAATACATCGGCACACCACATTCACCAAAAGAGTCGTGTTGAAATTCAAAAGGACCAGCCCACCATGGATGGAATCCATTCCCGGGTGCATGGCTGGGGTCTTTTTCACCACCTTCAATATGATCCTGTTCATGATTACCAATACCCACCATATATGGTACCATGGTAGCAAATGGTTCCACAATGTGGTGCCATTGGTCCCAGATGTATGCCTAGAAAACATATCATGCAAATATACAGTAGTTATGACAGGCATGGCATAACTAAACAAGTTAAACAAGGAAATGGGAGAAAAGTTACTTACTGGCCTAAAGTCAGCAAGGATAGGCCTGGATTAACTGTGCCCTCTGCCTTGAAAACAGACCTCGTCCTAACAGTCTCAGTCCATATGTTCAAGACCTCAGGCCAAGGTTTTTACACTAGTATATGGAATGCCTGGCCAGTAACTATAGGTATGTTTAGTATATGGGTAATATACTTACAAATCCTCTAGCATAAGAAATATCTCCATTATGAAAAACAAGCATTGATCCTTGCTTGGCTTCTTCAACTGTCAACTCTGCAACTCTTTGAGCTGGTTCAGAAATTCCCATGTCACCAAATGTGATGAATTTGGTAAAGACATCTTTCCCTGTATTAGGAGCTGCTTTGAATTTATGAACTGCACTTTGAACCTACGGAGGTTGCAGTGTTTGTCATCAGAATGAATTAATACTTGACATAATTAGTTATACATAAAAATAGCATAAATTTAATAAATTAAATGTCATT